TTTTTTTTTTTTGAGACGGAGTCTTGGTCTGTCGCCTAGGCTGGAGTACAGTGGCGTGATCTCAGCTCACTTCAAGCTCCATCTCCTGGATTCATGCCATTCTCTTGCCTCAGCCTCCTGAGTAGCTGGAACTACAGGCACCCACCACCACGCCCGGCTACTTTTTTGTATTTTTTAGTAAAGACAGGGTTTTACTGTGTCAGCCAGGATGATCTCGATCTCCTGACCTCGTGATCCGCCCACCTTGACCTCCCAAAGTACTGAGATTACAGGCGTGAGGCACCGCGCCCAGCCCAAAAAACAGATTTAAAAAAAAGAAACTTCGAGGGCAAAACAAAAAGTGTCTACAGGCTGTATTTGGCCCCTGTACTCCCCTTTTTGAAACCTATTGTCTAGAGTAACATAATTTGCAGTCATTTGTAAAAATCGCAAAAACTACTGTAAGAGAAAACCTACTACATGATGCTGTTTTGGTGAAAATTGCTTTTTACCATTGAGAAATCTGCCTTTTTTATATATCCATTTCTCTATTTATAACCACCTCTCTAGTCTACCCTACTGTATCCATTTGCCGGGACTATTGAAGTATCTGCCATCTCCACCAAGCAGAGGCAACTTCTAAAAAACGTAAATCAGACCGAGGGCTGGGTGTGGTGGCTCATGCCTATAATCCCAGCACTTTGGGAGACTGAGGTGGGAGGATCGCTTGAGCCCAGGAGTTCCAGACCAGCCTGGGCAACACAGCAAGACCCCAGTCTGTACAAAAACAAATTAGCCAGGTGTGGTGGTGCGTGCCTGTAATCCCAGCTACTCGGGAGGCAGAGGTGGGAGGATCGCTTGAGACAAAGAGGCCGAAGATGCAGTGAGCCTCGATCATGCCACCGCACACCAGCCTGGGCAACAGAGTGAGACTCTGTCTCTAAAATTAAATGACAACAAAAACACACACCCTCCCATAAATCTGATCATGTCATGTCTAAAAGAAAGCTGAACTCTGGCCGGGCGCGGTGGGATGTATGCCTGTAGGTCCCAGCACTTTGGGAGGCTGAGGCAGGCGGATCACCTGAGGTCAGGAGTTTGAGACCAGCCTGACCAGCATGGTGAAACCCCATCTCTACTAAAAATACAAAAATTAGCCGGGCATGGTGACGTGCTGTGCCTGTTTTTGTATATCCAGCTACGTTGTGGGAGGCTGAGGCAGGGAGAATTACTTGAAACCCTGGGAGGGTGGAAGTTAAGTGAGCCAAGTGTTGTCGCACTGCACTCATTTAAGCCTAGGCAATCACGCAGCGAGCTCCATCTCCACAAAAAAAAAAAAAAATAGTAATAAGATATTGGGAAAAAGAATTCTGTGGGCCAGGTGCGCAGTTGACGTCACCCCTGTGAATCCCAGCACTTTGGGAGTCCGGAGTGTGGTGAGGATCGCTTGAACTGAGGAGTTTTGAACCAGCCGGGGCATCAATGGGACGAAACTTCCATCTCTGCAACAAAAAAAAAGAAATGCCAAATTAGGTCGCGTGTGGTCGGGTGCATTGGGGGCCTATAGTCCCACACTACTCAGGGGAGCCGAGGGTGGATCACTTGAGGGCCAGAAAGCGCTCAAGGAGGCAGTGAGCGGGTATTGGGATAATTGTCGGCCACTGTACTTCTGTAGGGCGTGGGCAACAGAGCAAACCTTGTCTCTAAAAAAAAAGGAAGAAAGAGCGTGAAGGATGTTGTAGCTTGGCAGACAAGTGCAGCGAGCAGCCCACTTCAGATCCTGGGGGTGGATGGGAGTGCGGTGTGGGTGTCCTTGGTGTGTGTCGCGGCCGGGAGATTTACCGTACTGCTACTTTCAACTCCGCCTGCCATGTTGTTTAGAGTTTTTTGTGTTCATTTGTGAAACAGACCCACTAAGCCTTTACGGATTTTGAAGGTTTGTAATTATTGCTGGCTTTCGTTGTGAAAGTGAGTGCAACAGGAAATAGGACTCCTGACAGGATTAAAAGGGGTATAGGCCGCCACGCCGCCTTTGCTTTCTTTTTTTATTTCGTTTCCTTCGGACATGCTTATCTCACTTGGAGGC